TGGTTGTTTGTTGATGACGCCCAAATCGAGTGTCGGCAAACGCTGGCACTCGATTTGGGCGTCAGGAATTCCGTTCTGTGTCGTTCCGGCACCATTCCTTCCAGGTGATTCCTGGAACCATTCTGACGGAATTTGAATTCCATCAAAATTCCGCCGGAATGGTTTGATCAATTTGGCAGGGCCCTCTGCCAAATTTGATTCCTCCGGACTTCCAGGAATGGCCCGGATTCCGCCGGATTCTGGCAGGAATCACTGGAGGACAATAAAGACCTCTTGTTCTCCATTATCTTAATTCAACCATGCGCGAAATCAGCCTTCAACAAATCTTTGCCCTCATTCCTGCAACAATATCTCGCTACATCACATTTGCCTTGCGTCTCCTCTTTGAAACCCTTGATAATATTTCGGAATATTTCATTAAATACCCAAAATTACTACGTGAATTTCAAGAAAATAGTGACCTCATCGTTTCTAGGCATCCACGTCTTCATGGTGCATTTGCAAGCCTTGATGGACTCAATTTGGCTGTCCAGACTTCAGAAGATATAGAGATTGAGAATGCTACCTATAACGGATGGCTTTCAGACCATTTTGTAAGCTCTGTATTGTTGTATTCTCCCAAAGGTATGCCACACCTTCTGAAAACATTGTTTTTACTAAAATTCTTGCCTTAGGACCCAGTACTTTACCATCCCCCACATAATCCACATGGACTCCACTGGATTCCACTGGATTCCACTGGATTCCACTGGATTCCACTGGACTTCACTACATACTGGCAATATCCACAAAACTGGACTCCCAGCACAAATCTGGACTCCACTGGACTCCACTGGACTGCAAGCACAAATCTGGACTGGACTGGACTGGACTGGACTGCAAATTACAAAACTGGACTCCACTGGACTCTCCCAACACAAAACTGGACTGGACTGGACTGCCACAGACCTAAGTTAATCCAGAATTCCTGAACTTAGACTTCAAAACAAAAAATAAAATTGAAGTATATTTATTAATTAAATTAATTAATTATACTAAATTCTATGTTACAGAGGGGGGAGGGAGGGGGAAGGGAAAGGGAAAGAGAGGGGGGGAGGGAAAGGGAGCGGGGGAGGGAAAGGGAGGGGGAAGAGAGGAATAGAGGGGGGAGGGAGCAAGGAAGGGGGAAGGAAAGGGAGGGGGGGAGAGAGGAGCAAGGAGAGGGGGAGGGGGAAAGGGGGGGAGGGAGTGAAGGGGGGAGAGAGTGGAGGGGAGTGGGAGTGGTGAAGAGAGGAGGTAGTGATAGGGGGAGAGAGTGGAGGGGAAGGGTGGTGCTGCTGGGCCCTCGTCGCCGTTCCGCGCTGGCGTCGGCGGTGGTGGGCGCTCGTCGTTTTTCGTGGGCGTGTCGTTTTTCGGGTGTGGTGGAGATGGGGTTTTCGTGGGCGCTCGTTCGTTGTTGTCGTTGTTGTCGCGTGTTGTCGTTGTCGTCGCGTGTCGTCGTGTCGTCGTCGTCGTGTGTCGTCGACCCCACGTGTAGTCGTCGTCGCGTGTCGTCGTCGTCGTCGTCCCCGCGTGTAGTCGTCGACGTGTGTCGTCGTCGTCGCGTGTCGTCGTCGTGTGTCGTCGTGTGTCGTCGTCCCCGCATGTAGTCGTCGTCGTCGTCCTCGCGTGTCGTCGTCGTCGTCGTGTGTCGTCATCGTTGTCGCGTGCCGCTGGTGCCTGTCGTGGTGAGGACGGGGCATTGGGGTGGTGGGGCATACATACCGTTGGCCCATGACGTGGCAACGTCATGGGCGCTGTCCCTCGTTCTTGGCCTGTCCTTCCACGTTGGCGTGGGCGTCGTTGGCGTGGGCATGAGCGTCGTTGGCGTGGGCGCGGGCGTCGTTGGCGTGGGCGGCGTTGGCGTTGGCGTGGGCGGCGTTGGCGTTGGCGGCGTTGGCGTTGGCGTTGGCGGCGTTGGCGTTGGCGTTGGCGGCGTTGGCGTTGGCGTGGGCGGCGTTGGCGTTGGCGGCGTTGGAGGGGAGTGGTGAAGGGTGGTGGTGGTGGTGGTGGAAGGGAATGGGATGGTCACGGAAGTGTGACCATGCTGCAAATAGAAGATGTGACGATATGGCACGCCCTCAAATAAGTCACGTGACCTCACCCCGCAGACTGAACAAAATCATGAATCCTTATTGCAGCTATCACTGACCCACACTTTATGTAAATTATAACCCTTCCATTCATTGATCAATAAAATTGTAAGTATGGCTTGTATATTGTATAGTCTATTTTCGCTTTTTTAGTTATATTCATATATAATAATAATAATATACTGGAATGACTGGAATCCACTGGACTCCACTGGACTCTGACTGGACTCATAGTCCACTGGACTGGGACTGGACTCAGGAAAGTGGCTGGCAGTCCAGTGGGAGTCCAGTGGACTGGACTGGACTGGACTGGACTGGACTCCAGTGGACTGGGCATTCTGCCAGCCAATCTGGCCTGGTAAGAGGGCCACTGGAATCCACTGGAATCCACTGGAGTCCACTGGAGTCCATATGGATTACGTGGGGGAGGGTAAAGACCTCCTTAGGACCTATCATTGCCGCTAATGTTAATGCACCAGGGAGCTGGCATGACTCACATGTTGCGCAACCAATCTATCGCAAGTTAGAAAGGGACATGCCAGATGGATTTTATGTCGTTGCAGATGCGGCATTTCCTCATGGTACCCAAAGTATAGCTGGTCGGATACAGGCTCCTGTCAAGACAGGACAGCACATGCAAGGGACTGCTGAACAAATAGAGGAACGATTTGCCTTTGACCGGGAACTTCTTTCCTATCGTCAGACAGCTGAATGGGGAAATCGTGCTCTGCAAGGCTCGTTTGGACGTTTACGAATTCCTCTCAAGATCAATGATAGCCAGAGACAGGGAGATCTGATTGAGACCTGCATTCGGCTCTACAATTTCCACACGGAACGAGTGGGACTCAATCAAATTCATGATGTATACATGCCCCAGTGGAGAATAAATGCCGAAGATGAAGAAATATGGTTAAACTTCGAAAATATTCTCTTCTCAGATCAAAGGAAGAAGGATCGTGTTTCGAGATTTCATACCTACCCGGAATTTGACTAGATATGATGCAGTCAACACAATATTCAATTGGGTACAATACGAAAGGCTGAAAAGTATGTAGCATAAATGAGAAGGTAGATTACTAGTCAAAATGATAAGCTGTACAATAGAGAAAGACGAGGGAGTGTGTGAGAGTTGGGCTTAAGGTGTAAAGACAGTATGGAGTTGGACTGAAATGGAACAAAGATGTTGAAGGAGTGTGTGGAGTTGGGGTGAAATAACAAAAATATCTGAACTTAGTCACTAAAAACTGAGAAGGCCGGCAATTACTTATCCTTGGGGCCAGGTACATGGACAGGGCTGACTATGTAAGAGATCCTGCTGCTGTTATGATGAGGTGTGACGAGAAGCCCATTGTTGTCAACCAGGGAAGTGTGAGATGGAGATGGAACTGGAGGGGTTTCTCGAGTTGACAAAAATGGTACACTGGAAAAGAATGTTGGAGGGGTGAAGTCTACACCTGAGGACCAGCGGCTGTGAGATCGAACAGCGGAAAGGCCAGAGTTTGTATATGCGGAAGTGGTGGGATCAATGTTCTCCTTCTCCGATGACGAGGAGGATGTATCTGTGATCCAGGTGACACTCTTTCCACCCTCAGGAAAGATTTTCTCACACTTGATCTTCCCCCCAACACGTACAACCCCAGGTAGATGCCTCCTGTTAGGGAAGGGGTGGCGTCGGCACTCACAGCACTCACAGCACTCACGGTGCTCACGGTGCTCAGAGGCTGGTGCGTTCATTCCCATGAGTTCAAGTTTGAGCTCAGCACAATCGCGAGCCTGCTCTGCATCATGGAACCTATTGCATAAGCGGCTCACTTCATTTCGCAGAGATTCGATGGTTGCATTGGCATCGCGAAGCTGTTGCGAGATGGTGAGGAACTGGGTTGTTTGCATGGAACGAGAAGCACGATCTTCTTTGTGGCTTTGTTGGGTGGCCAGGTCGAAGGCCTTCGACAATGTTTGAACTAGCTCAAGGGTGGGGGCACTGGTGTGCATGCGACGTGGCTGGGGAACCTCAGAGTGATTGGAACGCACAGTAACAGCGTGCAAGGTGGAGTCATTAGTGACAGGGCCTCCAACGATCTCGACTTCACCAGTGTTATCAAAGTCTGAGTCGTTAAGGTCACGTGTGCCAGCTCTCTCATTGATCATCTGCTCAATCTTCAGTGCTTTGGTGACAGTTTCAGGACGCTTGCCAGAGCCTGTCGGTTTGCCCGGTTTAATCAGCTAGATGACAACAATCAGGATAGCATGGGAAATGAGAAGGAAAGAACATACCTGTTTGTACTTCGTTTCAATCGATTTGCAATCCCGTTCTGGTCGATTGTTTTTCTTTGCCCACTTCGCGAACCTCTCGTGAACCTTCTTCCAACCTCGTTGACCAATGGGAAGCTCATCCTCAATGAGAGCAAGGAGCTGGGATAGATCTCCTTCTGTATAATTCCCTGCCCCAGTGCAACGCCCCCGTTTCGCAATGGGTTTCTCATAGTGCTTGAAAGTCCGGTCCAGTCCGGTTTTTTGGCCCAAAACGAAAAGACCGAGACCAAGACCAGTCCACACGATTCCTAAAACCTCAAAAGACCGGACCAGGACTGGAAAAGACCAAGACTGCAGTCTTTTTCGGTCTTTGGACCAGTCTTGGTCCAAACTGGTCACAACCAGTTCAAGACCGGTTTTTCAACGAAATATGCAATATATTTTGCAGTTGTGAGTCGGTAAATTTATTTACATTCTTCGTAGCTTCTAAACGAGTGCAAGAACGTTCAATTACATTGAGAATTGATGTATATACAAAAATACTAAGGTACATCTGCTATTTTCACGAAATATTTTACAGTTTTGTATGTACAGTTGAGTGCAAAAAGAATGAAGGTTGGTTCATTTTTCTGGTTCTTTCTAAGAATCTATTGTACCTCAAATGTATTTGTGTATTCTTTTACATTATGTAGTTGTGTTACACTTCCCTTGGTATGGACTAATTTCAGTGAAAGCTGGAGCCTTGAGAAGGTTTTTATCCTGGAGGCCATTTTTGGCATCTGAAAAAAAAAATATGCGCTAACTGGGGAGGTAGCCAGGACATACCTCTGGTCAACTTGAATGAGCCTATCAAAGAATCAATCAAAAATACTGAGTGGTTAGGTCTGTAGAGGCATTGGAAAATGGCTTGTTTTGTCTAAAACAGGCCAAAAATGACCAAAATAGCACAAAATGACCATTTTCTGGAGGCTCTACAAGCATAACTGCTCAGTATTTTTAACTAATTTTTTGATAGGCTCATTCAGGTTGACCAGAGGTATGTTCTGGCTACCTCTCCAGTTAGCACATCTTTTTTTTTTCAGATGCCAAAAATGGCCTCCAGAATAAAAACCTTCTCAAGGCTCCAGCTTTCACTGAAATTAGTCCATACCAAGGGAAGTGTAACACAACTACATAATGTAAAAGAATACACAAATACATTTGAGGTACAATAGATTCTTAGAAAGAACCAGAAAAATGAACCAACCTTCATTCTTTTTGCACTCAACTGTATCTTTGTCAGTTTTTGGCCTAAAAATATGATCTTAAGTGTGTTTTGAAGGGTTATTATGTAGGTACAAAAGACTGGTCTTAACCGACAAGACCGGTCCATGTTAAACAGTCTTTTTGCGGTCTTGTGATCTCAAATCTGAAAGACCAAGACTGCAGGTCCGGTCTTTTGCAGTCTTGGTCCAGTCCAGTTGTGGTCTTTTTGCAGTCTTGGGACTGGACTTCCAAGCACTAGTTTCTCATCATCCAACGACAAGTCTGATGACTCATGTGATCGCTTCCCCTTCCCCTTGCTGGTACGGGGGGCACTGCTCGACCTGGGATGTGCTTGCTCACTATGGCGAGAGCCAGCAACAAAGGAAGCTGGAGCATGGCCAGTAGCAGTGGCAATAGTCAGTCCATGAGTAAGGTCTTTGTCGGAGGAGTGTGGAAGAGGGATGTCAGTGGGAATGGGTGCGAGGGCCATGATGTGCTGGTTATAGGAGTGGTTGGGGGGCATCCGTGGCTGAGACGAGACTCCAGGGATACTTGGACCTCTAAGAGGGGGGAGTGTTGCTCCCTGGGTGTCAAAGTGCTATCAGTTTGTTAGAAACGTGGTAAAACACCAAACATGAATGAAACGGACCAGTAAAAAATATGTGTGTTGTCTGGAACCTGCAATACCTCCAGGACCTGAACCAATGATTGAGCTGACCTAAAAGATTGATGAGGGATACCAAAATATGCTGATAAAATAATGTTGCACCAGTGGGAGGCCTCTCCATTGAGCACAAGAGTTGTTGGGCTCAAAGGGCAAGGCCCGGTGGGGCAAATTGTATGGAATGAAGGGCCGTTGTGGTTGATCTTGCGCCATAATGAAGTGGGTAAGGTGGTAAACGAGTGACTGTGAAAAGCAAGATTGAATGAGAAAAGTGTCGAAGAAAAGTTTGTGGTACTTACTGCAATAATCCAGCTCCCTTTTATGGTCCTTCAATGCCGAAGTTTCACGCGAGGCCATCGGTGGGCTCTGCAGAACGGAAAGCATGTTAATTGGTGGAGAGGTCAAAACAGCAAGGGTAGAGATTTAGTTTATTGAGGCGTACTCACATGATTTGGAATGGAGGAGAACATGATACCTTAAGAGGGATGGTCCTCTTGGTCATCCTGGCCAGATGATCCTGTGGTGCATTCTACGAAATTGCGAATATAAAACTGGGAGGGAGCCTGAGCAGAATAAAGCCATGATCACTGATGTGGTGCTTAGGGCAGAGCGCTGAAGGGCGTATCGGTGCTGCTGGAGTGCATCGTGGTAGTCGTCATGTAGTCTCCATGGTCGACTGAAGGAGCGGCATGTGGGAGGGATGGAAGGCATAAGGGAGCGTGCACGATGTCACGAAACAGCGTGGCGCGAGGATGATGAAGCCAGGGCAAAGGGCATCAAACATTCCAGAAAAGGTGTAGCTCAGGGTTTATTGTGGGGTTTAAGTCTGTTCGAGGGGTCTGTACCCTCTGAACAGATTAAAGTTTGTAACTCGGTGCCAACCAGGGCCTCCATCAAAGTTGAACCCTTACAAGACTCGGCATCCTGGCAAAAGACCCTAGATCTCATCGATTTATTTAAATCTAGCAAATTTGTCTTATGGGAAGTCACCCAATGCTTTGCAGCACAAATTTTTTCAAATTGTATTTGATTATGTTTGTAATGACCCTGAAATGTCACAACCAAGCAACAACCAAGGCCCAATGAAATGATCCCTGTCTGGAATAGGCCTGAGTGTGACATCTCAGGTCCAGTTTCAACACAGCCAAATACAATTCAAAAAAATTCATGCTGCAAAGCATTATGCAAGGCACTGTAATGGATTGCACAACGATTTTTTGAAAATATACTTGGTCTTGTTTGAACTGCATCTGAGATGTCACACTTACCCATTTCCAGAACAAGTAAACTGGATGCAGGTCGATGGTTACAGTCGTTTGCATAATGGATTGCACAACGGATTTTTTGAAAACTTATTTGGTTGTGTTGGGTAGCATGACTTTTCGTCACACTTACCCTTTGCCCATGGCCACTGTTGCCCATGCCAACACACTTGCACGAATCCAGCCGCTATACTCGCATTACAGTGGGCAAACGGCGCCCACCGGCTCTTAACCATCGACCTGCATCCAGTTTACTTGTTCTGGAAATGGGTAAGT